TTTTGATGCCAATTCACCACCCACTTCAAAACTCACAGGCTGGAGTTCTTTTTAAGTTCTCAAATATATTTACTATGTTACTCGCCTCCTGGTACTAGTGAGCTTTTTAATCAGGCCGATGGTGATTAATAAACAACGATGACAACTGTGGCTGACTCCAATCTAAAGCCTTTTGTTCCTCAAAAATTAAAGCCAACAGAATCTTAGGAGTTGAGTTCTATCGTTCTGCCTGCCCCGACTTAATCATAAGGAAGGAATGGAAAAGTTAAAGGCTGCATACACGCGTCACAACTGAGCAACGGAAAATGATCATCTAATTGACCAGCTTGGTGGGGGGGGGCCTCATCCGAGTGAACAGGTGTGGAGAATGCATCTCCACGAGCGATAGGGCAACAGTTATTATGAGCTTTGTGGGCCTCACACAGCGCTCCTTGGATCACATGGCTCAGGTCACACTTTCCTTTGGCCACTTGGTCTGCTGGTGACTTGTGTTCCTAGGGCCAGAGAGTGTACTTACCAGTTAGGAGCCCAGTGGTAAGGTGCAGAAACCTACTGTAGTCTGCCCTCCAGGATCATAAATAATCTAACTGTGATTTTTGGTATACACGCATTCTTCTATTTAGGTTTGATTTTCGTATTGTAACTCTGTAATTACATCTGTACCAAGTGACTCCAACTCCTTTTTTTTTTGGTACCAGGGATTGAACTCTGGACCTTGTGCTTCCAAAGCAGGAGGCAGAACCACTGAGCTAAATCCCTGGCCCTCCAAATCCTTTTTGAAGCAAGCAAAGAAATGTCCGGTTTCCTTTTTAGTCTTTTTTTTTTTTTTTTTTTTTTTTAAGACAGAGTCACTATGTAATGGCCTTGAACACACTATACAGCCCAGGCTGGCCTTGAACTGAGGGTGATCCTCCTGCCTCAGCCTCCCAAGTGTTGGGATTACAGGTGTGTGCCACCATTTCTGGTATCACTGTCCAGTTTTAAAGAGCAAAATACTATTTCGTGGAAATGCTTTGAAGCTTGAAGAAATAGATATAAATAATGTATAGTATGACTACTATTAACGAATTGAGTAATCTAGGGTAAGTCATTTAAACATCAAAGATTTTAGAAAATCCTTTAAAATGAGGTGATTAAATCATCTCCAGCAGTAATAATGTAAGTGTACAAGTCCGTCTGTTTTCATAGAAATCTATTTTCTATTGCTCTCAAATTTGAGGGGTCAGGCCACAAAAACTACCAAGACTTTCACAAGGAAAGTTTGAACTGTTTTACAGATAACTAAAGGTAATTCTGGAAAGCAACAGAGCAACTAAAAAAAAAAAACTTGGTAAAATTGTGCAATTTTTATAAGCAATGATATAAAAAATTTGAAGAATTAACTTCCTTTATACCAATTTATTCAAATGGCAGAGACAATGTTGTGAATCAAGCCACATTATATAAAAAGTACAATTTACAAAGCCAGAAATTACCAGGTAAAAACCAGAAACCTTCATCATTACCTGGAAAATTGTAGAGGCTCTTTGGACACTGTTTTAACGTCTGACAATATTTAATGTACAAACTGGTTATCTTAGAGTTCAGAAATTGCTAGATTTACCTGTGTTGTAATGGCTTATGTATAATCTCAAGTAATAGTCTGCAGATTAACTTTTATTTATTTATTTACTTTTTGGTACTGGGAATCAAACTCAGGTCCTTGCGCTTGCAAGGCAGGTGGTGGAACCACTGAGCTAAATCCTCCACCCTGCAGATTAACTTTTAAAATGGACTTCATTTGGCCTAGGGATTTAGCTCAGTGGTTCCACCGCCTGCCTCGCAAGCACAAGGACCTGAGTTCAATCCCTGGTACAAAAAAAAAAAAAAGACTTCATTTATATGTCATGTAAGAGAAACCATGTACTATTTAAGCTTCTGTGTCTGATGTATTTCACTGAACATGATGGTCTCAAGCTGCATCCGTTTTTCTATGAATGATAGGAAGTAGGCAGACGGATCTTTCTGAGATGTGAAGGGGATCAAGAGATGGAGGGAAAAGGGAGAAGGAAAAGAAATAGAAAGGGAATTAAGATGTGTTGTGTACACACATCGACTCCACACAAGGACTGTAGACCGTATCTACTGTAAACATGGATTAATAAAAAATTAACAGAGACTTCATAGAGCAGGAGATCAGCAGTTGAAGTGGATTAGGTAAAGAGAACACCCAGACCATCCCATCCCCTGCACACCCGAAATGGTGAGTTTTGTGGTATGTAAATGATATCTCAATTTCAACAAAGAGAAGGAAGAAATAGAGCATCCCAGGTGACGCCAGGAACCTGCGTTCTTCACCCCCGCTGCCTCCTTTCTCCAGAGCCCACCCTTCTACTCCCTTGTTTTCTTTTTGCCTATGCAGTGCCACACCACGCTGTTGTGGACCCTGGATTTCTCCTCTCCCCAGGGGCCTACGGGGACAGGGAGTTGAACCTGACCTTCTGAATCACCCAGGCCCTGATTCTCAGTACTTCCATTTTCCTGCTTACTCTTCAACTCTCTTTGGGGAGAGGGATTTTTTTTTTTTAATACTGTGAAGTGTTGAGGTCCTGATAAAGCCTCTCAGACAAAAAAAAAAAAAAAAAAAAAAAAAAAAAAAAAAGGGAGGGGACATTTGTCAACCACCCAGTGTCAGCTCTGCTCAGTTACCCTCGTTAACACGGTCATGATCTTGTTCCCAGGGCCCAGATGTAAACACCAAGATGCTGAGAGCTGTTCCCGTTCAGATGTATTATGCTGTTCACGCCGGAGATCAATTTCTCTTCCCAGGACACAACCTGAAGCTGCTTATGGAACAGGACTAACTATAGCCAGAGAAAGTTTTACTGACAACAACACAAAGCTAATAAAAAGTGGCACTGCCTGCTGGTGCATTTGAACACAACCACGCTTCAAATAACCCCTGCAAGAACACTTTCCATCCTAGGAGACAGGATGTTTGTGAAGATGTGATCCCACAGAAGTACAAAAGAAAGGAGGGGACGCAGGAAGACTAGTTTTTTTTTGTTGTTTGTTTTTTCCTATTAAAAATAACATGCAAACCACTCTCTGGGAAACTAGCTCTGTGCCACTTTGGTACCTCTTGGATTTGCCAGAGCAAATGGGACAGTTTTCTGCTTGAACTGGGTTTGTAACAGGGATCTACTCACCGCCATCCCTTCCTTCTGTGGACAATAAAACCAAGCAGTCATTTCTGGCTGCACAAGTATGGGTAGGGAAGGGACAGCTGCAGAGTATGGAGGCCTGGGTCTGGAGTTATCTTCTGGGGTGATCCTGATAGTTGAAAGTTGAGAAATTAATGATCTTTTAACTACTGCAGACATTGCCTATACAAGGTCAATGGTGCGGCAGAGGGACTGTCCATAGGTACTACCCCTTGATAGACTAACATGCTTAGAGCTAGAGGCCTGGGTTCGAGTTTCAGCTCCACTTCTTTCTTGCTGTGTGACCTTGGCAAGTTTTATAACCTCTCTGAGCCTGCTTTCTTTTTCTATGAAATGGGGTTGGGAATAGCTTTAATGCCACAGGACTGTTGAGAGAGTTGAGGACTTTGTGCTTGGAAAGCATTAAGAATACTGCCTGATATGTAGATAAGTTCATGTTCAATAAATAATTAAAAAATAAAATTGAATATTGCCATTCATCAAATGGCTTTTAAGAAACAGCCAAATGAGGTTATCTCTTTAACTGATTTTTACGGGCTTACATTAGGCTGAAGGCCTGGAGACAGGAGTTGGGGCTACTTAAAAAGCAGAGAAAACATGATGCTTTTTCCTTTTCCTTCACTTTCTTAATCATTAGCTATAGATGAAATCCATAAACTTTCAACTTTAGCTCAAGAGAACGTAACATTCTTCATGTGCTGATAAGGTCCAGGGTCCAGACAAAGTCCAGACCATGGGCAAGGGGTTGGAAAATTCTTCAAGACCTCATAACAAACTAAATGGAAACCATCCACCCTGAGAGTCGACAGGGACCTACTTCTCTGTGAATTAGGCCAACACAGCCCCACGCTCGGTGTAAGAAAACAATGGCGTGGAGGGAGGCAGGAGAGGATGTTCCTTGGAAGACCTAATTGATCATATAAATGTAATCTCCAACCTCATTTGGTACAACAGCAACTCTGGCACTTGTCCACCTTTGTCTGTCTCTCTCTTTCTCTCTGAAAATCTCTCATTTTTGCAATAAACTTTACTTGTACTCTATACGATGTCCTGTGCATCTTGTCTGAAATCTTTCATCAAAGACACCAAGAATCTAGGTACACTGTCTGTCCCTTGCTGTGTTGTGAACTCGTGGCGTTAGGATACAGCTTCCTGGTAACACACGAATTAGAACTTGGTAAAAACTAATTTTTGCATTGGATTCTGAGAACCCAGAAGAGAGTGTCAACAAAGATCTCTTTTTGCAGGGAAATGGGTTTAAAATGGCCTTCCAATATTAATGACATGGCTCCAAATCATTGTGGAGGGATTCGAAGACACATACTAGTAATGTAGGAGACAGTTGCCCTGAGCAGATGAAGTAGAAAGAAATGAAGAACGTTTGCTTTAGACCTTCAGGAGGGAAGGTCCAGATGGCATCTTCAGTTACTTCCGCCCTGCTTGAAACCCCCATGTAACAAGGATTAACAGACCTCCTGGCTCTGCAAAGGGCCCCTCCCAGCTCAGAGCAACGATTTAGGCTGTTACCCATTTTGTAACCGTGTTTCTCCTGTGAGCAGCAGAAGCTGGTCCCAATGTATAGATATTAAACATTTAATTGAAAGAAGGATTTTTTTTCGCTCTCTCTGCCCAACTTTCTCATGTTAAGGGGCAGACCATGTGGTGCTCAGGCACTCCCGGGGATACCTCCTCCATGTCCCAGAACCTCTGGACACCACTCTGTTCATCTCACCACCCTGAAGGAATACACCAGCGGGCAGCAACAGATGGTCTCCCCCTGCAGCAGATCAAGCTTACCCAAATAGTTGTTACTCTTCTGCATCTCAGTGATGTTGATTTTCGTGGCTCCTTGGGGGATTTCCACGACGCGGTGGTAACCTAGGCTGGTGAGAGCGTGTTTAAACACGCCCGATACTACCTGGCAGCCTGTGTTGTCACCTCCACACACCCCACACTTGTCCACAACTTTGTCGGAGCCCAGGTAGTCATCGCAGCCGATGCTCTGCAAAGAGGTGCAAAAGAAAAAAGACTCTGGTGAGCTTGTTTGGAAATGCTAGCAGGGGAGTGCAGCTACTCGTGTAACCCTGCTGGAGGAAATGGTCCTCCTCCATCGGGGTGGTCGTCCCCTTCGATCCAGCATGCAGCTTCGGTAGGGATGCACATGGAGCAGTGAGGGAGGAAGGGGACCCCCCGCCCAGCCAGCCAGATCAACCGAATCATCCCTGGTGATCAATGGGGTGACAGATGTCGCAGCCAGGTCGCCCTCACATCCAAGAGAAGACTCTTGAAGAATGAAACAGGGGCATCTGGAGGAAGAAGGGAGAGTGGATGGTGGGATAAACTGGTGGGATTCAAACTGCCCTTCCTCCTGCTCCTGCTCCTGTAGATAAGCAAATCCGTGCTGTTCATCACTCAATAGTATGCACAGAGTAACTCTTTGGGGGCAAGAATCTTGGTTTTTAGCTACTCATGAAATGTTCGTTTCACAGATAGGGTGGGGGCCTTAGTCAATGAAAAATATAAGTAAATAAAGTGGTGCCTTTAGTGATGGTTAAGTGATCAGGAAGGAGAAAAATAGCAGGGTAAAAGAATGAGAGAAGAGACCATGGGCAGGAATTTACTTCTGCACCTTGTACAGTAAAGTTCTGCAAATCCCCACTGAGCTATGTTTGGATCAAGGATGCTCCAGGCTGGAAGCTTCATATGAACAATCCCTTTGGAACTTATCATAAGTACCACACCCCAAACTGAGATTGGCTTCCAAGTCTTCTGTTCCCAATTACAGATGCTGTACACACCTAGCAACCCCCCCACCCCATAATGTTCCCTGGCCCAGTTTCTCAGGAAATCAAATAACCTTGTTCGAGATCAGAATCTACCCTGCTAACTGTGCCTCTGGAGGGCCAAGTGGGAGGAACTGTGCCCGATTATCCCAAGGCACATTTCCTGAAGTGGATGGCCAGAAACAGCAATGAGCAGGACGTTAAGCTTCAAATTACGGGAGCACTCTTTGTACAGTCAGAATGTTTGAGGGAACTTTCCTGAATTTCCCCTGGAAAGATCCTTCCTAAGACTTATTTCAAGATCTTTTTACTTTACCTGCATCACCCCCATTCTTGTTCTTATAAGGAAAATTCATTTTGCATTAAACAAACAAACAAACAAACTTTGGAACAGAATGGAAAGATCTTCTGGAATCTTTTTCCACTTCTGGAGCTGATTCTGTAGGACTCACGATCATGTTTCCTGAATTCAAAATTAGGACTTATGGTCTATGCAAAGAATTCTGTCACGTGTCCCTGAGCAGATGGAAGTAAGTAGAATGTAGTTTGGATGATGAAATATTGGGATAACAGGATTATTCCCTGGGTTATGGGGATACAGAAAGATGCCTGAAGTAAGAATGGTATTTGAAAACCTGAGACATATGTTTGATGACGCACAAGCTGGGATTCTGAGAGCAATCAGACCACCTCTCAGGGGCAAAGTATTCAAAGATTACATTTGATTTTGTTAAACAACCTGCTCTGTTCATGTAGGTCCTACAAGCCAAACCCCATAGGTGGGTCAGATCAAAAGGTGTTTATTGGGGCCCCTCTAGCTTTATGTTTGACTCATATCTTTCCGCAGGTGCTGTGTTTCTGCATTATTGCTTCCATATTCCCGCGTGCACATTAGTCCATCAATAATGGGTCTCTCTTCACAAATAACTTCTCTGTAAAACGTTACTTCTGACAATAACAGAACATCATCTCAATATGTTCATTCACATCCAATTAGTCTTTCAAAATGCCATGTTTGCTACGTATTTCTCCTCCCTCAAATATTTCTTGCCCCTACCCCGTGCATATTTTTTGCAGAAAAGTCTCTTATGCATGGTCGCCATACCCCCACTGCCTTGGGTTCTCCTTTCCCTTGAAAACTGGAAATTCCATCACCCAAAGGGAACCCATTGTGTAAAGCAAGACTAACTGACTGAAGGAGGTGGCTGAACTGTGGCTGATGGGGAAGATGGATGCAAACGCCAACTGGCCGTCCCTGCCTTCACTAGCAACATCTCACCCTCCTCCCTCCCCTCTTTCAGTCTCTAGTCCATTCCTGCTTAGCCTGCACCCAACTCGTCCCAGACTGAGCTCGTTCTCACGGGAGTGCAAAGGCATGGAAGTCGGAAAGAACAAAGCATGCTCACTGAATGACAAAGCTGAAGGGTAAGGTTGCTGGTAAGGACGCAGTAAGGCTGTAGAGTTCAGCCAAATTTGTTAAGTCTCTTGTTTGCCAGGGTGAAGAATGAGAATTCTGTCCTATGAAATCTGCAACCACTAGATATCTGAAGAAAGAGAGCCATTCTTAGACCTGTTTCTGGATGACCACCTTGGCCGCAGGGTGAAGTGGGTCCTACTTAGAGGGTGCAGGACGTCTAGCGAGTCTCTCTTTTTTATATTATGTGGAGAGGACAGTTCAACAACGAACAAGAGCCACCAATAGTGAACCAGATGCCACATCAGTCCTCAGCCCCAGCTCAGTCAGAATGGGATTATGAAGAAATTATTCAAATATGGACCACTTTCGAAACCAACAACATAGATCTGATCTCGTAATCAGACATATTAAAATAGTCTGCACACTTTGGTGGATTCCTACCAGCTTGAGTGGCATGGTCACTCTGGGTGAATCCAGACATGAGGAGAGAGGGCTATGGCAGATTTTCCTGGTCGATATCCAAATGTCGTAGAGAGGTGATGTCCTGTCTCCTTAGAGCTCATCCTGAGCTCTGCCCACAGACTGCGCCTCAAGGGAGAAGTCAGAAGAAGGGTTGTGTGAACCCTTCTTGAATTAGGAAAGAAATTACTAGAAACAATTTTGAGTGTCCCAGTGGCTAACCAGATCTCTGAGAGATGGAGTTGCTATGGACTTAGAAAATATCTACTTCACAGAGCAAGGACAGAATGAGGACTGGGAAGGTAACACATATTCAAGATCTTTAGCTTTAGCTCTAAGGCCATAGGCAAATAACATGTGACAACTGTCCTTTCTCTTGCACAGGGCTGTTGTAAGGATCATATGATATAATGAAAGGTAAGACAGATCGGCTGAGGAAGTTACCTCTGGGCTAGGACATGCGTGACAAGAAGGATCAGGTATGACAAGATCTAAACACATATGCATGTATTTGATCACTGATGTTGTTGGGTGACTGTAACATGCCAGCTGGGAACCCCAAGCTGAATCAGACATGTGTCCTGCCTTTGGGAATTTGAGTCTAACAGGGGAGATAAAACACACGTAGGAGTAATCATAAGCTATTAAGCAATGAGGAATTTCTGCATTCTTCATGTCACACTGGGATGGCATCAACTCTTCTTTAGAAGGTGGATAACTGATAATTAGATGTGTAAAGTCTAGCAGACATTGCACTATCCCAGCCTGAATTAGTGGAACAGGGATTCCTGTAGGGTAAAGAGTGTCCAAGAACATGCAGGACAGATGCAAAATGAAAAGGCCTTCGTGACTGGTGGGTTGGGAGGGGAGGAAGCAGGCTTGACTCTTTCCCTGTCTCTCATTGGCCTCAGCATCATCTTGTCTAATACTTGTACCATCTTTACTATATTCTAAGTCCTACAAACGTCTACTTCTCATTTAATTTTAAAAGCTATTAGTGAGATTATTGAAGACTGTAGGGAACTAAGGAATAGGATGTACGTTAGGTAACTTGCCCAAGGTCATGCAGCTGGTAAAGGTGGAGCTTGGATTTGAACCCTGGGTCCAAAGAAAAGCCCATACCTTTAACCATTATATAAAGACTGGAGGTCCAAGGTGCAGTGGCCCTGTTGAGGGCCTAGCTTTATTGGAGGAGTGGATGGTAGCAGTGACCTAGGTGCGGGGGACAAGTTTGAAGCACTGCTGTGATGGAGTTCTGGGAAGTGCTTGGACCAGAAGTGACTCCCGCATTTTCTTCTAGTATAGTGGAGGGCCCACCACACTATGAATCCCTCCCACCCCAGCTCTTGTAACACCACACTTCATATGCAGTGAGTAGGGGTATTCTGTTTTCATGTTGCATTCATTTTTTATTTTATAACTTTTGAAAACAGTATAGGACTTTCACTGACCCTCCACACAGCTTCCCCTAATGAAAGCATCTTACTAACCACAGTACATCGCCCAAACCATGCAGACCATTGGTATCAGTATCATGCCATGAACTTAAGAACAACCTTTATTTGGATTTTGCCACTTTTTATTTGCATTTCTGTGGGCGGACATTCTATGGGACATCACAGGTACAGATTATGTACTGTTATTTTCTTAAAGCAGTTGCTATTCTCCTCCGGCACACCGCCGTGAAATTGGTAAGTGCAGCTGATGTCATTTAGAAGGAAAACCAGTTAGGAATGATGGCGAGAATGTTGGCTCTGGGTGCCAGGGAGCCTGGAGTGTGTTCGTGGCTCAGTTCCTGACCTCTCTCTGGAGATACGGAAAAGAGTTCCAGCAAACCCCAGATCTTCAGGGCTCGGTGTCCAGAAAGGAATCTGACCCAGACTCCGGTTTGTGTATCAGAAGGCTGATCGACTGGCCTCTGACAGGGATGGCTTAAAAGTGGTGAGCTTTCTTCCAAACTTTTTCAGAACAGCCACCAACGGAATCTTAAGGTGGGCACTGGAATCTGCCATCTCCAGTATCCTGTGCTGGCTTGGACACTCTGTGTGCAGTACCTTTGGCTAGGTCAAGAAGCTGTTCTGAGCCTCCATTTAAAAAAAAAAATCCGTGGCTGGGGTGGTGCAGTATTAACCTCTTCAGACAATTGGGAGGCTCAAACAAGGCAAACACATAAGATTTTTGGCAGAATCCTTTCTGGAAAATTCTGGGTTTTATCATCCTTATCTTCATTGATTTGATCCTGTTTGGAATCTTATCTACCTCTAAGTAAATATCGTCATCATGTAACCATCCAGGATTCATCTATTTCTATTGCATTTTCTTTTACAGCTCAGTTAGAAATAT